ATCTAGGTTCTAAAATCTTCAGTGACTTTCCCTATTCAACAAAAATAGCAAACAGAAGCCTAGCTTCCTGCTCTGAAGAACTTCCAGAGTATAATAAAGTTTTCCTATTTCAACCCCCCACCCCCTCATCCCACGCCCAATGCCAGCCTGTTCTTTCAGAATGGTAATGCATTTGCTCGCAGAAGATCACTGTGCCCATTTATTCGTGCCAGATAGTGCCTGGGTCTCTGGCAAGAATCCAGATCTAGACTGAAGCTGGAGGGCGGGCCTCTGCCGTGGTCTTGATCACTCTAGGTATACTAATAGTGTGACGACAAACAGTTCCTGGCCTGGGCGTCAACCGCTCTTTGCTGAGATGATAAAAGAAGGATTTCTACTCTTGTTCACTACGACGCTTCTGTGCTATATTTATTAAACTTAGCACCGATTAGTGTCTCACTGCATCCCCTCATCAACGGCAGTAGTGATAACAGAAGCAGTATCCAACAAGGATGCCCGCCCATCTAGAGTCTCACTGACAGGCGGTTTGATTCTCCTCACAGTATCTTTTTGGCCCGGCAGCAGTATGATCTGGTATACGGGAGAAATCCAGGACTCATGATTAAAGGGGCTTTAGTGATTTTTAAGCATCTATCCAGGAGACATGAACATCCTTAAAAGGGCTAAAGATCAGATATTTCCTGCACGTGACACATTCGCAGAGCAAATCCCTGAACCCCGGGGTTAAAAGGGACCTTAAAGGCCCCCTTTCATAATCACTACGGAAAAGAGGAAGTCGTTTTTGTGGATGGTGTTTAATTAACTCGGTTTTTCTAAGGGATGAAAAAGCCCTATCACAGTTACAGATCTGCCACACAGCATCCCTCACTTCCAAAATTGTTCCCTGGTGGGGATTTCTGTTACAATGTTGTAGCTAATGGAACCGAGCAGAGCGCATCTCAGACCGGAGAAGCAGCAAGCGTGCTGAACCTAATTTCATCAGACACTGAATGGTTTTTATTTTCTGTATGTGTTTGTTTGACATGAAATTATTTTCAGCAGTAATATGGCAGGGAGAATTCATTCACTCAGCAATCAATAATTGTTTTAAGTTCTCCGAGTTCTGAACACGAAGCTATAAAAATGTGAGCTCTGCGAGGATTGTGTTTTAAGATGGCCAGGAGGCCCTCTTACCTCTGTAAACCTGGAAAAACTAACCACTAGGGCTCCATAGTAACCCCTGGGAAGAGGATGTAATACATTTTCAGTTCTTAGTACAGGGGGCAGGAGGGGTTACACACCACTGCAATGCTAATCCTCAGGGGTGGAAGCAGATGTATCATTAAGTCTGGGCCAACCTGGGCTACATAATAAAGATCCTCAAGATAAAAAAATCCAATATAGAAACACATGACTGATGTTCAGTAAATGACAGTTATAGGTATTACTAACTACTATAATTTGAGACAATTAAGAATTTTCAGATGTAGACTCTAGATTTTAAATGTATATTTTTAATATATGTATATATATATATATATTAGTACAAGGAACGAAAGTAGACTATGTTGGACAATGAAGGGGTCTAAAGGGAAGGAATGGGGAGAACAGAAAGGTAATAAAGAAAAAAACAAATAATGTGTTTCATTCATGTGTAAAAGTAAGGGACAATTAAGAAATGAAATTTGAATACATTTCAGGAAACTAACCGAAGTTTGGAGAATACTACTAAATGCACACATCAATTTTTATATTATTTCAGAAATATGTGCTGAGCAGAAAAAAGGAATTTTTATATTCATGTTTTTCTTCTTTTAATTTTATCTCCATTTAAAAAAAATCATAGAACAGCTAAATTGCACTGATAAAGCTCATTTTATGAAATTTAACAGAGTTTAACTGTTCCCAAGTTTGAAGGTTTAAAATAGCTTCCATTTTGAGCAAAGAAAAGGGGAAGTTTGAAACATCTCTGTCAATCATATAAAAGATATTAAATAAATACAAGTTTATGGGAAAATTAGGGACTGTGGTTTGACCTAGGATGAGAAGAAGTATTTCTGAAGATGCCCGTAGGATGGATGGGGTGGTCCATCAAACAAGGCCATGCTGGGTGATGAACCAGACTCGCAGAGGAAAGGCAGATTAGCGACTTCATTCTGAAAAGAACGCCATGGTCCAAATGTTTTGCTATTATAAACGTATCTGGGGATATTGCCATCTACATGGAGCCTTTCCCACGGCAGTCTGTGGCTCTTTAAAGCTTTGACTTAAAGGTGCTTCTTGAGTCTGTCTGTCTGTCTGTCTATACGTTTACCTAGGAGACATTAGTGCCCAAGAGAAAGGGAAATGGCTTTGGTAGGAGCTTGTAGGAAAGCAGGGCAGCACAAAGAGGGCAGCGAGCTGCCTGAGGGAAGGGAGGGAGCACAGGGCTGCAGAAGCAGGCTTAAATACTACAGGCTGACCCATTGCCACGCGTTGGTTATCACTACGCCTCCGTGAGAAGAAAAATATGTGGCAACCTGCTCAGTGAAAGAATTGTTAGGAGAGCATCTTCCCCTCAGAGAGGAGATCAGATGGTGTCTGTTCAATTCAGGGCCACGGCATGGAAATATGGGGCAGGCTTTACAAGAGAACATTGGCTTTGGTGATAAATGCGCATGCATTGTTTCTGGCTACACACTAGCTGAAGGGAACCACATGTTACAGGATTTCAATAAATACCAGCAAATCCTTATTTTTCTTTCACGCTGTTGAAGTTTTACCATTTATTTTTGTTCCCTCCCAACGTGACATTGGTTTTCTTTGCTGCGGAAAATTTAGACTGTCTTATTTAATACGCTCACCTATTCATCAGCATGGATAAGTCCTTTTACACATGCCATAAACACCCCGCCCTTCTGGATGCCTGTTGTAGAGCGAGCACTGGTACTAGTGAGAAAAATAACTAGACAGTCGCATTGTAAGGCTGAACCATGGGAAGAATTTTGTCTGTCTCATCAACTCATGCTGTCCTGTACATAGATAGAAGGCTTAGTGAACTCTGACCTCTGATGCCTTCTTAGCAACCCTGATGGAGGCATCATATTTGCATTGTTCTGTTCCACATGAATGTGACAAAATCGCCCCCAAAAATGTTCTCAAATTCATGATATAAAGAAACAGGTATGATTTTTGTCCATATAACCCTGTCCAGTGATTTTTGACTCAATGCAATGCCAAAGCAGTATTGAAATCTAAGGGAAATAAGCTAAAGGAAGTGTGAAATGGGGTTGAAGAGATGACTAAGCAGTTAGGAGCACTGGCTACTCTTCCAGAGGCCTGGGTTGGCTTCCTATACCCAGCAGGCAACTCACAACCAACCATTTGTAACTCTAGTTCCAGGGGATCTGATGCCCTCTTATGGCCCTCTTCGTGTACTGTCTGCATGTGGTGTTACAGAGAAGCACACAAGCAAAATATCCACACACACTAAAAATAAATAAATAAATAAATCTTTTAATTTAAAAAGTGTGGAAGAAGGAAAGTCTAAATTTAAGTGGCTGTTTGGGGGTGTATACCACATATTTTAAAGATAGAAATCTAATCCCTATAGTTAACACAGGGAGCATGGAGAATTTTAATGTGTTCCTACTTCCCTGAATTTTAATATTCATCTTCTGAGACATTAAGTATTGCTTGGCTCCTTTACCACTATGATTTAAAATCATGGTCGCTGATTCCCTTTGGGGATGGGAGGCAAGATGGCTGAGTAGCTGTAGGCCCAGTGTAGAATTTGAATAAGCAGCCAAACAAAAAAAAAAAATGGCTGCCAGTTGCCATTTTGAGCATGTGTGTTTATTGTTGCTATTATTTGGGGGATTTACTTATTTTTATTTCATGTATATGAGTGTTGACCTGTTTGTATGTATGTGCACTGTGTGCATGACTGATGCCCTTGAAGCTAGAAGAGAACCTTGCATCCCCTAGAGCTGGAGTTAAAGACTCCGGGTGTAGACCACTGTGTGGATGTTGGGAGCTGAATCCCAGTTTTTCTACAAGAGTAGGAAGTGATCTTAGCCCTTGAGCCTTCTCTCCAGGCCCTTCTTTTGAGATCTTCAAATGGAACAAACCCAGGTGGATTTGTGAGGAACCAACACAGTGAAAACCACAGCATAACAGAGATTTGTTTTTCATTGTTTTATAAGTATCATTATCAAAAACTGTTATAGATGTGTATATATATATATATATGTGTGTGTGTGTGTGTGTGTGTGTGTGTGTGTGTATTCATTGCCAGTCTCTTCATATGACCATCCTTGATATAACCCCCAAAAGACAGTTTCATCTGAGGTTGGGCTTGTATAGCTCTTCCACAGCTTTTCAAACACATGAAAGGGAAACCACTGCCCATACCAACTGTACTTTTGGCTGCAAAGGAACGGGCTTGTCTTTATCATTACTCTTGATTTGTACTTTACAGCTCTGCTTCTACGCTTTCAGTTCTGCTTTTTTTTTTTTTCCTTCTTTTGCTAGGGCTTTGAAATTCTCAAAGGATGTGGCTAACGGATAAGCCTAATACTGGGTGGATAAACTGGCCTTTCTGGAAAGAATACGTTAGTCATTCTAAAGAATACTCAACTCTTTGCCCCTTTAACTGGCAAGAAATAGCAAAAGGTGCATCATCTACAAAAAGTAGTGTGTCAAAATCCCTCAAACTCTGAGAGTAAGTCTCCCACATAGCAAGCTTCAGGCCAGAAAGAGCTACATAACATGACCTTGTCACCGACAGAATGACACAAAAGTGTTCATTCCCCACTTTTTTTTTAACTATATGAGGTGAATTTGGACAGGATAATGACATCGTTATATTTGCATTATAATGTATTAAACTGTTTTCTTGATGTGTCTCTCCTAGTCAGTCTTAGAAGATGGAAGTATACCTACTGTGCTTCAGAGAATGTTAAAACCTGCAGAAGGATACAGCATCAGAACAGGGTTATAAGGCAAAGTACCAAATACAGTTGTTTCCTGTTTTCCCGCAGCCTCCATAGTGATTGGGAAATGGTGGTGTGAGATGGAGCCCTGCCTAGAAGGAGAAGAATGTAAGACACTCCCTGACAATTCTGGATGGATGTGTGCCACAGGCAACAAAATTAAGACCACAAGAGTAAGTCTACTTCAAATACTGCATTCATGTCTCAGATTGTACCATTTGCTTTGCTCTTGCATTGGCAGCAGTCTGAAAAGCTTTGAGTGGGACAGGAGGAGAGATTTCCTTTATCAGGACATATTCTGGATTGGGTGTGTCAGTGTCCATCAATGAATTGAAAGTTAGAACCTGACCTTTTTGCATGGTGTAGTTCTTTATGTTACAGAATCACAAATAAAGCAAGGGAGGAGGCATCAGTAGGGTGGTTACTTGGGGAATGTATCTTCCAACCACAGTGCTCAGAGTGATAAGCACATGGCTTGCTTCATTCATCCAGGTGGTATGCTGAAAAAGACTGTGTTTAAGTATAATTATGTTTAAATGAATTTTAATGACATTTTAGAGAAATACAAAGAGATTGATAAAATTAGTAATTATTCCTTGTTTCTCTGGTTAAACCAGGAGCTTCCTAAAATTTATGAAGTCCGAAGTCTATAGGTAATGTTGCCTCATCTTTTAGAATTGACCTGTGTTATACTGCAATACAGGCGTGGGGTGATGTGGCTAGGCCAACCTAGCTAGGCCAATCATGTAGGGACTGAAATATGTCTGGAATGTGAGAAATCTAAGGGGAGGAGGTGAGTGGAGTTCTGGATGCTTAAGAGGGATTATTTATTCACTAGTACAAGGGCATGAAAATAATTTAACAGCTAGTATCATCCTATGCTGTGTATTCTCAACTGTCAGCATATCAGCCCTGGAGAGTATGTGTGTGCCTGTATGTGTGTGTGAGTACCTGTAACTGGGTTCATGTGCTTTAATTTCTTGGCGTTTAAAAGTGCTCTTTACCAGTTTGAAGTCTACATGATAAACATTTTCTCTAACAAAAGGTTATTCAATTTCTTTATTTTAGCTACTACATCATGAACCTTGATATGATCCTTCTTCTCAATATCCTCCTGTCAATTAATAAAAATGATCTTTACAGCTATGTGGTACAGAAATCAGTAATAAAGTTACATAATGCTATACGAACCACTCAAGTTCTCACATACAAAACAAAGGAGTATCAAAAATAGTTACTCATATGGACTATAGCGGCCAATAAATGGCCATAATTCCTTGACTTATGGTCAAGAGGGATTTCTGAACCACCTTAGCTTATTAATATGAATCCTCGTGTCTCTGAATAATTCAGCACAGGTTTTTGCCTCACATTTCAATTAAACACTTACATAAGGAAGCGTCGAGAAATGAGGCTGGCTCGGGGAACTTATACTCCAAAAAATTGTTTTAATTAGCTGATGGAGGAGGCCAATTTTGGCTCTGGTTATGTTTTCTCTGAAACATACATGGATGAACTAGAACACTTGAAGCTACTCTGAATTTTTGTTAGAGTCCAATCAATTTTGTTTGGAACAAATTATTTAGGTGTCTTATGTCAAGGCTCAGTCCTTCTTCAAATAGTGACTGATGCCCTATATGGAAAGCACCCAATGCTCTCACAGTGGCTAAGAATCCAAAATTCATTAATAAAAATTAACCCAACTCAAATTATTTCAGTATTTAAGTATAGAAAATTCCATGAATACCAATTCAGACTCTTTGGAAGATAGACTTTGTACTAAAAATGAGAATGAAACAAACTGAAAAATGAAAATATCCAGAAATAGTTCATGATACTTTTTTGAGCACTGTCCAACATTTATCCAAATGCTACCTCTATTTAACCACCCGGCATGTTGTAACACACCTCCAAACTCTTTTCACTTTGAAGGAGGCTTGTGCAGAACCTGATCATTGTAATTGAGTTTGTAGTGGCTGTTTGCTCCACCCTTGGTGCACAGAGATTGACCCAGGCAAATGAAGGAACAAGAGAAATAAACCATGGCTGGTACTGCTTTGAAAGTTGAGGGTGTATGTGTTCTCACACATCTGAGAATTCTCAAGGCTACTTTCAGAGTGGGCAAAGCGGACACTGAATAAGGCTGTGCTTTATAAACACTGAGAGAAGCAGACATTATTCTCACCTTTTCTCTGCTAGATTCCTAAGAACTCCCAGATTGGGAAAAAAGACTCATTTAAGCAGTAAACACAGCCATTGAGCCCAGACAATCGTTCATCCAGGAGCCCACATTCAGAGCAGACTAACACCACCTCTTAGATAAGATATCCCCCCAAACAAGGTCCATGCTAATTTTCACACACTACCGTGTATTTTTCCCATGAGATTACATGTAGGCCCACCCATTTCAAATACTGACTCTAGCAATTTGAATTTTAAAGTAGTTTAATTCACAGAGGGACTTCAATCATTACGAGTTCAATTTTTATTGTTATCTAAGAGGTAAGAAACATAAAAGAACCTACTCATTTTCTTCTTATATGTAAGATTGGTTTAAAACGAACACTGCCCACTATTTTATAAATGAAAAAGGTAAAAGATATTCTAAACTCCTAACTGTTAAAATGACAAGTGAACATTTCTTTTCTCTTTGTTTTGTAGTTTAAACTTATTTAGATTTATTTATTTGTATGCGTATGAGTAATTTGCCTGCATGTATCTCTGTGCACCATGTGTGTGCCTGGTGCCCACGGAGGCCAGAAGAGGTTATTAGGTCCCCTGAAACTGGAGTTACAGATGGTTGTAGACCACAATGTGAGTGCTGGGGACAGAACTCGGATTCTCTGTAAATGCAGCCAATACTCTTAACTTCTGAGCCATCTCTCCATCCCCAGGTACGGGTTTTAAATGTTCTATTCTTGAGGTTAATTGAACACATCTCTCTACACAAGAAGAAGAATTTAATGGGGAAAAAAGCCTTGCTTTTTAGTTGACTATTATTCTTAGCACTCAATAAATTCTCAAATACTATTTGAAAACTGAACACAGAGAAATTGTGTTTCTCTAGATAGTGACAATGTGTTCACTAATTTGAAAGAACCACAGTTGATAGCCTCACCATTAGTCCCTGTAAGTAGCTCAGGAACCTGAAAATGCAACTTGCCTTTCCAAAACAACTGTAAGGGGGCTGAACCAAGCTTCAGGGAGCACTGAACTGAGCTTCCATGGTCCAGTTGAAGAATAAAAAGAATAAGAATATGAGCAAAGAGGTCAAGACCATGGAGGGTTCATCCACCGAAACAGTTTACCTGAACGAATGGGAGCTCACCAACTCCAGCTGGACTGGGAAGGAACAAGCATAGGACCATACTGGTCCCTCTGAATGTGGTTGACAGTTGCACGGTTGGGGCAGGTTGAGGGGCCACTGGCAGTGGCACTGGGATTTATCTCTACTGCATGTACTGGCTTTTGGGATCCTATTCTCTTTGGATGTATACCTTGCTCAGCCTAGATGTAGTAGGAAGGGCCTTGGACCATCCACAGGACAAGGTGCCTTGCCCTCTCTTGGGATTGGATGGGGGTGAGATGGATTGTGTAGGGAATGGGAGGAGGGGAGGGAGTGGGAATTTTCATTGGTATTTTTTTAATTTAATAAATTAAAAAAAATAAACTATAAGAATAAACCCTTAATGGTCCCATACATAACAACTCTAAGGGAAGTGAGCATTTCTTTCGAGCTGTTAATTTAAATACTAACTCTAGGCCCAGGGAGATGGTGCAATTGCTAAAACAATTTCTGGGCAAGTATAAAGAACTAAAACCAGACTGCCACGCCCCACATTAAAAGCTGTGGTAACACATGTTTATATCCTGCTGGCCAATTATTCTTGCCAAATCTATAAGCTCTGGGTTAAATGAATGACCCTGTCTCAGAAAACACAGTGCAGGGGCCTAGATGAAGACATGAACCTCTGGTGAGCTCCATGTATATGTGTATACACACACACACACACACACACACACAGAGAGAGAGAGAGAGAGAGAGAGAGAGAGAGAGAGAGAGAGAGAGAGAGAGANTAATTGGGTTGATTAGCCTTTACGGTCTAGTTTCTTGAGTTCTTTATATATTTGGAGATCAGACCTTTGTCAGTTGTGGGGTTGGTGAAGATCTTCTCCCAGTCAGTGGGTTGCTTTTTTGTCTTAGTGACAGTGTCCTTTGCTTTACAGAAGCTTCTCAGTCTCAGGAGGTCCCATTTATTCAATGAGGCCCTTAATGTCTGTGCTGCTGGGGTTATACGTAGGAAGTCTTCTCCTGTGCACATATGTTGTAGAGTACTTCCCACTTGGAAATGTACTTTTGAAAATGTCTAATTTTTCTCTAACAGGTAAGGGAAGACAACATGGTGAAACAGATGATTGTACAGACTTGAATAAATTGTGTTTAGTTTTAAAAAAGTAAAATTTATACAAATACATTGTATATTGTGTTTTAAAGTACAGACGAAGGGAAAATGAGTTTGTAAGTTTAGGTATTTATATATAAAACAAAACACTCAGCAATTACACATTCAACTGCAAAAAGTTGAAACATTTATGATTCAAGTCCACAACCCCTGTTGCTCTTAATAATGTAATTTTTTTCAAATGGTGAATAATGATTAGTCAAAGTTTTAAAGTATAGTCTTTCCCACATGTACATGGTAGCTTCTCTCACTCCTGAGTAGTCCACACCTAAATCACGTCAGCACAAACATCTATTGATTAATAAGTGGATAAAGCAAACTGTACTATGTCCATAAGATGGAGTATTGTTCAACCATTCAAAGGAAAGAAGAACCAATGCATGCTACAATATAGATAAACTATGAACACATTCATCTAAATGAAAGAAAGCAGACACAAATGATCACATACTGTTTCATCTCTGTTGTGTGAAATGTCCAGATTAAGCAACTCTCCGAAGACAGAAAGATTAATTCCAAGGGGCTGGAGAGACGCAGATGAGGGAATGGCTGAATTGGCTGTGGTAAGAGATAAAATGTTTGGAACTCGGCAGGGTGGCAGTGGCACAGTCAGTCACTGGACACTTGAAACCCATCACGTCACATACATTTCAAGGGGTGAAATGATTTCTATGACAGTTAGAAAGAGAATTATCTTTTTAAATAAACTTCTTCTTCTTAGATCTTTGAGATGCCATCGATGTTTCAACTTAGTGGTCATTTTCTGAAGATCGATCCTGTAGGAGGAAATGGCCCAGAAACTGCAGAAGAGGCCTTCTCTTCCTCTGGTCAGCAGTGAAGTTTAAGGGTGCAATTTGAACTGTACTGATTTCATTGTGATTCTTTTCAGCGTTATTTGCAAACTGAGCTTGCTTTTCAGACTCCAGTTATCACAATAGGATTTTTCCTACATGTTCAGTGGAACACTAAAAATTCATTAGGACAGCAATTAATTCTATATTGTACAGAACTGGTCATCTATTTCGGGCCATGCAGCATCCCCTTCTTTTAATAATACTACCCCACAACCATTGTGACAACCCACAGATCCCTATCATGATTTCCAAGTGGCCTCAAGGTCAGGCATCATTGTGTAAAGAACTGCCCCCCTATTATCAGAAGACAGAATCTAAACAATACTTTGCACCATGCAGCAACTCCCAGAGTTTCCAAACTGAGCAGCAGTCCAAGTGCCTAGGCATTTTCACAAGCTTTTCCCATGCTGCACTTTGGTCTTGTCTGTACTTCCTTACCTGTCTATCTCATGGAAGACAGCAGTATGTACTGTTCTTCAGGGGTCCAGGAAGGCACTGGCAGTATTTTAGGGCTTGCTCCTGGGTATCTATGCCTGGAACATGCAGCACTTTGAGTTCTCAGCTGCTCTCATGGTTGTACCCATGTCTCAAAGCGGGGAGTGAAGAACCAATACTACAATGAAAAGACATACAAAACATAAAATTTATATATATATATATATATATATATATATATATATGTGTGTGTGTGTGTGTGTGTGTGTGTGTGTGTGTACATACACACCTGGAAATGGGATGTCAAGTGTTTTGAAGATACTTAAGATAAAGGGATGAAATTCAGAGACAATTGTAGTCAATTGGAAAGAAAAACAAAAGGATGAAGCTTGTAGAACATAGACTGATTGATTTCCTTGGGAAGAATCGATCATCTGTGGATTTGCTTCAAACCAGTGGGGAAAACAATAATTAGTGTGTCTTGTAAACCCAAGGGTTTTTTTTCCACTTAAGCAAGGAGATATTGAACCTTAAATTACACAACGAAGAATAATAGTCATCTTGTATAGTCACTGCTTTTGTGAGTGGCCAACACAATCCATGATCCTCTGTTGATGCTTTCTTGGTCTCCCTCAGATGATGACTTTCAACTTGACAGTTTTTGTCCATCCTAACTACCTCAACAATTCTTTTATATTTAAGAAAGAGAGGAATATCAGTTTTGACACCTTCTAGCTTCTTCACTAAAATTGTACCAGGTCTAAAATGTTTTGAGAGACTGTGACATTACACTTCTGATTTCCGTTCAATTTCCAGTTGAAATACAGAAAGGGAGGGAGAGGAGAATACCAACCTCCAAGGAAGTAATATCAAATTGCTGTCAAAATTAGAAAGCAATTGGGAGGGAAAAGAGGGGCTTTAAATATGGAGTTGTCTGAAAGGGTCAGAAAAATGTGCAAAGGAAAGATAAACTACTTCACACAGTGCCATTTCCCCCCTGAAATGATCAACGCAATCATTTCAGGAAGTACAGGTACGTGTCTAATTCTAATGTGTTAAATATCCCCAGGATTTGATGGCAACATGACAGAGTCTCCCAATCTTCTGTGTTGTGTTATGGAGGAAAGAGTTGGAAGAAAGGCAGTTTCAATTCAGTTTGGTGAATGTTGCTTTTTTATAAGATTATAAATCTTATTTATAATGTTACTTTATATTCTTTATGTGGTGGACAAGAAGACACTGTCAACCAAAAGTTATGTCCACCATTGGAATAAAGGAAATAGTGGTTTTAAAAAATCTCCATCATTGTAAGGAGAGAATTCAAAATAAATTTATGAAAAATACCCATGCAAATCTGTAGCTGGACTGAGCAATGTTTGAGTGCAAATTTTTACTATTGCTCTACCTAACTCTGAAAGACTTGAATTCGTTTGTACTCCTGGATTCAGGAAAATAATTTTCCAAAGCTATCACGAATTAGGAGGGCTTGGAATGTACCTCTGTGATACCCTGGTGTGCAGAAGACCACAGGTTTGGTCCTAATATCACAAGAAATTGAGATGATAAAGAACAATAACAATATTTCCTTAAGCTGGCTTCTCCGTGTTAGAGTGCTTGTTCATGTTCTCAGCCAGTGGTTCCTTGAGTATGCATATGTCCTTAACATTTGAATCTTTGGGTCCGTACTAAGATGCACTAAGTGGCATGTATAGATGTATAGGCATGTTCTTGATTCCCAGTTAACACTCACCATTGGTTGCTACAGTTTCTCATCTTTTAAAGGTCTTCCTTTGTTCCTCCACATGCATGGACTAATCTAGGCAATGATTACCAATGGCCACTCTTCAATGGCTTATAACAGAACAGCTACACACGGCCATGGGGTGATGACTTCAAATGCTCATCATAGGAGCAGAGGTTGATTATATTATTTAAGTGGCCCAATGCAACAAGAAAATGCTAGGTCCTGATTGAAAATTTATTGGTGAATTCCACACAGCAGTAGCGATGAAATAAACCACCTGTGGGACCCTTATTAGTCCAGAACCCATGGAATTGGATAGCGGTTGTATAACCATGAAGCCAGCTCTGGGTAGTCATTTCTCTAAGAATCTTTTTTCTTGGTTTTGACACAAAGGAGCTGAGTGAATTTATGGAAATATGGAGCATCTGTTCACATATTTTAGGTATCAATGGAAACCACCTGAATGAACACACTGAAATTAAAGACATCCTCATGTTCTGCATGTGCACATTTCTTTTGTCTTCATTTCTTACTTTTATTACTGAAATATCTTTCTTTCTTTTATTTCAGATTCACCCAAGAACCTAACAGAAGCATTCATTATACAAATAGGAAAAACAACCTGTGGAAAATACATTGCGAGGATTTAAAATAGCTTGCATACTTGCAAGCCAAATGGATCTCTCTTATTTGCACTTTGACTGGTTACTCAGAGTGCATTTGCTTTGTGAAACAGAGTACCCCATAAGAGACTCGGGATTTTTCTGGCAGCATCATGGGAAAAAGACTTTAAAAAAAAATCAAAACAAACGAGTTTTCTCAATGAAGTTTTGAGGATCACGAAGAACGATCAATCGTCTTCTAACTTGGAACTACCATTACTTTGTACCATTTGAAATATATGTATATATAATATTTTGAAATATTATATATTCTCTTCAAGAAATGAACAGTACCACAGTGCGAGGTGGCTGGTGTATCCCTTTTGGTTTTGGATGTTTGGTCGGTTTTGTTTTGTTTGCCATTTCTTTTTCTCTTGGTGAGGAAGATACATGCCCGTGTGAGAATCCAACATGGCGCTCTCCCTGGAAGGCCAGCTGCAGGCGGACTCCTGGAATCTGAGGCATCCTGACAACTCTGAGTCAAGAGCTTCCCTCTGCTTCTCCCTGGTGACCCAAGGAAGCTCGTCGTCTTGTTTTATTGCTTTCTACCTGTGCAATATTAGCATGCAAGCTTGGCTTACATAACCATACTTTATATTCGATTGATATATAATAACCGTTCTAACCTCTTCCAGGAAAATATTTTTAGAACTACTAGCTTTTCCACAGATAGGCAAGTGAGGATTCTTGAGGGAGCTGCTCCACCACGCTTTTAAGACCCTGGCAGGGTGGCAGGATGCAGATCCCTATATTAATAAGTCCTGTAAATACAATGTCTTAGGGCTTTGTATAGCTGTCCTAGACTGCAGAAGTGTCCTCTGATTAAATCCAAAGTCTGGCATTGTTAACCACTTCGTGCTGTAGTGACGCGTCTTATCAAGGCACCTCTTTCTATGTTTGATTTGCTTTTTCCTAGAGTATTCGCATCTCCTCCGGTGAGATAGGAAGGCTATGAAAGCAATTAGGTTTCCCAGTGATCTATGTGACCAAATGTTGGATAGCCCTATTAAAGTGGTAAATAACTTCTTTCTTAACCCACTCGTCCTCTGTGTCTGCCATTTAGTTTTACAGACTCTGCTTCGACCAAATCACAAGAAGACCCTGTTCATATTTGTAGTTAGCTAGAAGGTCTTTGAAACTACGGAGGCTACTATTGCCAACAATAAAATATTTTGAAACCTAGAAATTGATGAACATGATTGTAGCGATAAATCCAATGACAACTGGGTCACTTCCATGGGGGTCACGCTGGTAATTACATGGGGCTCACCCCCACCACGAAGTCATTTCCCCTGTCTTTTTGGAGTTGCTGAGCTAAGAGTAAACATCTTCCTGCTTGAGATCTGCTTTTCCTGGGGGAAGTTTTAATGGAACTTTAGACTCCTGTTACCGTGTCATCCCAGAAGTGCAAGTGTTGTGTTCTGTTTTCTCCCAAACTTAATCTCTGGCCTCTGTGTTGTTGGAGACTCTTCCTAAATCAACAGCACTGCGGCCCCTGACTCTGGACTCTCTAGTATCAAACCTTAAGTAAAACTCAAGATGCCCCTTTAACTCTACCTAAACAGCCTGAAGTTTGATTGAATGTGTGAACTGCTAACCAGAAAATTTGATTCTGTATCTTGAAGGCCTGTAAAAAACATCTAGAGAAAGAAATAGAAATCTTGACTGTAAAATTGACTTCCAAACAGTGTGGATTCTTGCTAAAAAGGGAATATAAAATTCATTCCAGTACCCAAGTGTGTTTGCAAGTGATAGCTACCCACTACTTGAGACCCCAGCACTTGAGATATGGAAAGGGGAGGGCTGTGAGGAGTTCCAAGTCTGCCTGGGATACAGAGCGAGACCCCTGCCCCAAAACAACAAAAATCTTCATTCCAGCAGTCCTTTCTG